GACGGTCACGTACCGCAGGGCCAGCGCGGTGCGATTCTTGGGGTGACGGCGGGGGGAGAAGGGGCGTTGCTGCGCTCGGGCCTTCGAATCCCTCGACTCGAAATCCACGGCAACAGCCTCCGTGGCCTAAGCAACGCCAAACCCCGCGGACGGGGGATGGCGGAGAACAAGGGGGCAGGGCCCGAGGGGGAACTCCCGACCAAGAGAGGGGGGAACGAGCCCCAGGATGCCTCGAGGTGATACAGCCATGTTGACCCCACCAGCTGGCAGGGCAAAAGGATACCGAGAAGACACCGACGACCACGAAAACCACAAAACATAATACAGCCACATTGACCCCACCAGCTGGCAGGGCTCGTCACTTGTGGGTCTTCGTCTCACCCCCCTCGCTCTAGCGAGGGGGCCTTCATGATAGTGTAGGGCCCGTTCTGATGATTGCTCGGGGCGATCGCGTAGCAGTTGCTGCCGTGGTCGATCATGCGCCCATGTTACGGGCATGTGAGTATGTCTCCCAGCTGTGTGTCGACGATGATCCAGGTCGCGGCTCGAGGAGCACCGCGCCTGGAGGTCCTGGCACACAGCAAGGCGTGACATCGCCAGTGATGTCGCCGACATCGTTATCCTCGTTCTGGTGGTGGTTGGCGCTGACGATAAGCCTTCTGTTCTCGTCGTAATAGCTGTTGTAGTGCCATTATCTTGCTGCAGTGAGGGCGTCCGCTGTACTGCGCATGACCATGCCTATGATGTCGTTGATCTCGCTTCCGTTGGTTGCGTAGCCCTCGCACATTATAGCAGTGAATCCATCCATGGTTGTCGTCTGCGGGTGTTGTCTTAGCAGATGGTGCTCATGGATGTTGAGGTGGCGGATGGCTCGGTCTATCACGATGGTGGGAGTGGTCGTTGCTAGCGTGTCGTATGCTGCGGTGAGCGTTCTGTACATTGCGTGGTTGTCTTGGGTGACCTCTCGCTGCTGTCGTGTGCTCAGCTGTGGTCGTCCCCAAGGGTGTTGCTGTGTTTTTGCATGTCTGTCGGCTTTGAAGGACTCGATTTTGGCGTCGACGATGTGCAAAACCACTCTCCCTTCTGCAATGCATGCTCGCGCGTAGTCGATCGTATCACCACCTTCGTCGCTGTCGGTGCGTCGGGTACAGATCTCGATTGCAGTGCCCCGTAGGTTGGCATGTCGCTGGATGGCGGTGGTTAGCTCGTTAGTGGTGTTGTCGCTGGCAGTGGTGATTAGGATGGTTGTCGGTGGTGATTAGGATGGTTGTCGGTGGTTGTCGATGGTTGCCGTGTTGTTCACTGAGCGAGCTTGTTCCCTCGGGGATTCTGGTTGGGATCGGTGCTCGTGTGTCGTTGTTGTGTAGTTTCGGTCCGATCGGCGGTCCGTATGTCTGTAGTGGCGGTGCCTCGGCGCAGTCGTCTGGAAGCCCACCGTGTCGGTTGAGGCGTCTCGCAAGTCGAACCTCTGTTTGATTGGCGTCGACCTCTTCGGCTGTAGCTCTGTAGTTGCTCGCGATCCATGAAGCTGCGCAGGTGGTAGAGGCCTTGACGTGCTTGATGATCCTGTTCGCGGAGTGGAAGTTCTTCATGCAGATTTGGCAGGTGTCTCCCACAACGATGTTGCTGAGGTTGTCGTCGCCTCTGTGGTGGGTGTAGACGTGCTTGTTGTGCGCCGCGGTGGTCTGGAAGGTTGCGCCGCAGTGGTAGCACATGAAAGGCGCAGTCTTGGTCGCTCCGTGCTCCTCGTCGTCGTGCGGCTGTGCAGGTCGGAGTCCGAGGGTTGCCGCGGTGTTGGCAGTCATGTTTTCCCATGTGGTTCGTTTCGTCGTCTCCGTGTGCTGGTCGATGGCGCTGCGGTACGCGTGGGAGAGGATAGCTTTGAGGTGGCTAGTGTCGTACCGCGCCATCGTGATGAGCTCGGTAATGTCTTTAGGGGCTTGCTCGTGCCGGCTGCGATCACAATGGTGGCGGTAGTGTTGCAGGTCGTTGGTGATGGTCGTGGCCCATTCGCCGCCCCGCTGGATGTCGTGGTCTGCAAGGGCTTGTAGCTCTGGTGAGCTGTCGTGTGCTATACGTAACACCTGGCGGAGACGGAGCCGTCGCAGCCGCTCGTGCAGTGTTGGTAAAGCCGCTCGTTCGAGGATCTGGTCATTGGTGATTCGATCTGCGCGCATCTTGTCGTGCATGATCCCGATGGCCTGTCGTGCTGCAGATGCGCAGGCTGTCGTCAGCCTGTTCACGTCGCGCTGCTTCTTAATGATCCAGGTGCCCGTGTTGAAGAATAGCTTGGGATACCCGAACGCTTCCAGGTAATGGATCTTGGCGTAAGTAGTGACTGCACGCCTCTTGAGTAGCGTTCTGCGGAGCGGTCCCGTCGTCTGTCGTAGTGCAACAGTGCGTGCTGCGATTTCTTGTCCGAGGTCGTTCCTGTCGTTGAACATTGCTCCGAGTAGCTTCGTGCTCCTTGTGATAGTGGCCGTGAAGCCGATGTCAGATACGCAACGCTTCTCTTGGATCATGGTACGGACAGTGCGCTTGCCAACAGCAGTGTTGGGGTAGACGATGTAGCTCGACTTAGCCATGTTGATCGGCAGTCCCCTGCTGAGAGTCGCGCGAATGAGATGCCCCCACATGGTACTCACAAGTTGGTGGATATCGTTGCCGTTGTTGGTCGTTGCCGCTGCCTTGGCGTCGTCAACGAAGGAGGTAGAAGATATGGTTTTGGTGCTGTCGCTATGCTGGAAGTGCTGTGGTGCTTCGGGAATCGTTACCGCGACGCCGTCGGTAGTAGCACGCTGGTGGTAATCTGCTGTGGCGTCGGCCATTAGCGCGTTGAAGGTGAAGTCAGCTGTTGGGGCGCCAGGCCGAGTGCCCAGTCTTGGTGCAGCACAGCTAGCTTCTCGATGGATAAAGAACCATGTCCCTTTATGGGCCTCCGTGAGCATCTCGACGATGTGCTGGTCGGTCACGTGCTTGTTAACGATGCCGTCGTTGATCATCAGCTGGGTGATGGCTGGGATCATGGCCTCGGGGATGTCGATGTTTTCGATGACGTCTCTGATTTGATCTTCATCGGGCTGCATGTTGTACACCAGCTGGTGGATGACCTTGTGGAAGGCTGCCTTGAGGTCGATCATGATGATCACAATGTCGTGCTTGATCGCTTTGGCGGAGTCGAAGAGCATCCTCATCATCATGTGGTTGAAGTCCGTACTATAGTGGTGCCTGCCGCCCATCTGGGCAGAGAACATCATATCGGGAAGGAGGTCCTTGACACGCTGCCTGATGCATTGGTAATGGTGCTTAGTGTGATGGAACGTTGATTCGGACGTGCTTCTTCTCCGCCCTTGCCTTTCCAGAAGTAAGTCGTTCGTGATCCTTTGTGCGCCAAACTTCCCCTGCAGTAAAGCGCGGCCTTGGTGATGACGGGGCGCGCGTGTCTTGCAACTTCACGTGGTGCAATTTTGGCCAGGTCGTCGGAGATACAGTCGGGGCCAGGAGCCCGGTAGGGCTTAGCCTTAGCGAGGATGTCCTGAAGCTCATAGATGCTGGCGAAATTGTCAATGCTCCTGGTGATATGGCTCGTGTCGTGCGTGAAGTCGTTGTTGTATCTGTCGATGACTTCCTGCTGCGTCATGAGCTTCGCTGCTTCGTTGTCGCCGAAGTGCTTTGTCGCCTCTTCCGCTTTACTGACCGTGCTGGTGACTGCACTACCGTCCGAGGAGATCATTAGTGGGCACGCCCTCTTCTTCTGCCGTTTCCTGCCGCCAGAGATCCGCAGTTTCTTGGTGTACTTCCATTCGGTGAAGGAGTCGCCGTCGTTTTTCACTTCCATGGCAAGTTGGGCCTGCTCTTCCAAGAAGTAGTCGTAGTCTCTGTCGATCATTTTTACGATGCACTTCCTGGTAGTTTGGATATACTGCTTGACGGTGTCGAAGAAGTATTGGTGGTCGAGATTGCTGCGGTCTTGGTGGGCGACGTAGAGGAGTTGGAAGGTCTCACGGTAGGCGTGCTGGATGGCTTCGATGGGCATCTGAAGGGTGGGGTCCTCGTCTATGTACTCCAGTAGGTTTCGTGCTCGTCTTTTGGTTGCTGGATGTTGTGTTCCGTCGTCTGAATCCTTCCTGATGCACTTCATGAACTTCCTGCGGCACATAATGAAGGCCAGCGTTTCTTGTGAGATGTATTATTGGAACTTCTTGTGGTCCTGTCGTGCGAAGGATCTCTGAGCCGCTTCCATGATAGTCAGCATGTAGTAGTAGACGTGCTCGTCGTAGTTCATGTTCC